GCCATCCGCAATGACGAGGCGCTCAACAAACTGCTGGGCAAAGTGACGATCGCTCAAGGGGGCGTGTTGCCCAATATCCAGGCGGTCCTCTTGCCCAAGAAGACGGAAAGCCATAAAGGCAAGTGAAGCTGCTGTTGCCTCGCCGAACTGAACCCAAAGGCTCTTATTAGAGCCACCTACCTCCTTAAGGAAAGAGCTGACCGTCTCTTCCTCTTATAATGGGAATAGCGCTTTTTGTTTGCTTGCTCCGGCACTCCGAATAATTGTCAAGAAGTCGTCAAACAGTGATCGGCTTTGAACGAACACGAAGGTCATTTTTTTAAAGCGTGTCTCAGATTAATTGATTTATATCTTGTCTATAGGAGCTCTAATCTGCCTACATCGTAGCCCTTTGATCCCCATTTTTTCTCCTAACAAGTCTTGGATGGATGGGACTGAGAGATTAGGGGGAGGCACTGACCCAAAATAATTCAATGAGCTTCCACAGCTCAGGGGGGACTTCAACCTTGGTCACCCAGGGGTTTAATGCTGTCAGAAACAGCTGACTTACATGGTGGGTCAGATCTAATGCTGTAGATTAAATGCTTGTTATCTGGAGGGTTGAGAAGGGTTCAAGCACAGCGTGGGTGAGGCTTTGCATCATGCTGGAAGTTTAAATAACTGGAGGCTGCGTTACCAGCCACTAATGTGGTCCAATGGGCTCGAAATTTGTGTCCAAAATGTGGAAGCGACATGTACTTTTAACAAGATCAGGTGTAAACAGATTTCCAAATCAGAAGACAAAAACAAAATATCGTTCAGTTAATCTGTATTTCCCCAAAGTTGCTCTGGAGCTCAGAGAAACAAGAGTGGCGGCTATTCTCAGTGGGGGAAAATAAAGTGGGTGTCTTCCCTTTTTTCATCAGGGTGAGGTGTACCTTTGTAGCAAAGAAACAGCTGAAAAACAACTACCAAAAATCCCCTAAGGGGTTCTTTACCTATGCTGGTGAGATCCCTGTGGGTTTTTTTTTCTTTTAGCTGCAGAAATTAAATCAGATTGTTACTTGAATCTACTGTCTTCAGAGCTGCATTCCCTCCAGGTCCATGACTTTGAATGGATCTGGTTTGGCAGGAAGCCGTGACCTGGTACTAGCCAGTTTCCAGGGATATGCTACAACTCAACACCTGAAATCTGAATAGGGGTGAAGGTTTGGACATCACTGAAGTAGGAGAAAAAAAGTTCCAAAGCTAATGAGGAAGGGTTGTTTTTTTCCCCCCTGTAATAATTGGTCTGCAGTGGGATTTTTCTTCCACGTTAACCAAAGCAGTCAGGCAGACTGGGTTAAGGTTGGAAAACACCATAACAGCACTCCTGGGAATGTACAAGTCACACTGCCTCCAGCTTAAACCTATATTTGGAGCTATCTGGTGAATAAAACTCGTACTACTGAAGAGGATTGTGTTGACATGGTCTAATGGGATTAAGTGAAACACTGCCTTATTCACTAGAAAAGGTTTGCCTTCCATCAGACAACTTGGTTTTCAGAATAAACATGGGGTGGGTCTCTCCATACCTAGCTATGGAAGCTCCCTGGGTGACCTGACATAAAGCCAGTTATTACACTTAGCCCCATTTTCCTAAAAGGGGGATGGTTGAGGTGAAAAATCAGAGGACGGAGAGGTATTTACAGTATATCTCCTGGATTCCCACCCTCTTGGAATTCAGATCATCGTAGCTGTCTCAATCAGTTCGGTGATTTTTATATTAGCACATTATACTTATGTGCATTTTTGTGCACTATCTTGGAGAAGCTTTAAAGTGTTGAAAAGTACTTGGGAAGATGGGTGCTGAGAAAATAAATGATGAGAACGAGTTTGTAAAGATCAGCTAAGAGGATCATGTTTGCCTGCAAGACCATCTATGGAATAGAATGTCTTGGTATGCAAAATAAGCCCAAACAAATTTTGTTCTTAACTACTGAACACCCTCCCACTTTATCAGATGAAAATATAGGTGGTAGTCCTCGTTTAGCAACCACAATTGTACTTGTTAAGTGAACTAAGTCACTAAGTGAAACCATGCCTGTGCTTACAATCTTCAGCTTTCCTTTGCTTTACAAACCTGCAAAGGTCATAAATGCAAGGATTGGATGCAAAGTTACTCTCTTGGTGTATTATGCTCCTAGGTTTAAATAATTCTGACCTAACAAATTTGATTATCAAAACCGAATGGAGGTCTTGTGCTCCCAAATTTGCTCCTGTGTATGCCAAGCTTCTTTCCAGTTCAGTCAAATGAATTAGGAGTGATGGATGGTAAGTTGTACATTGTAGCTATTAATAAGATACAATATGACAGGACTGGGCAGCACAAGTTTGATCCTTCCTTCCCAGGCATCCAGAAACAGTCCTGTGACTACCCTTTGGGAAAATCCAGGCTTGCACAACATGTGGAGTAAAAGGAAGTGAATCATTTCTGACATCAGGAAAAAAAAAATCAATAGACTTGAAACATTTCCATTTGTAAATTAATGTTTACAGTCTGGTGGTAGAGAGTTGTGGAGAAAAGAGTCAGGAATTTGAGATGGGTAGCAATATACATTGAGTGACTAGATGTAACAAACAAACTGGAGATGCCCCCTTTTTCTCTGTCTTTTGGACATGACCAGGATCAAACCAGCTCCTCTCTTTGCCTAATCCTATCAGACACAAAGTGACCCTCCCTGCCCCAGACAAAGCCCCCCTGCAGATCCCATCTGAACCAAAGAAGAGGCCTCCTCACCAGCTCACAGTACAGTCTGAGGGCAGCCCTCATAAGGGAGTTTATTTATTTATATTTCAAATTTAGATACCGCCCATCTAACGAAAAAGTGACTCTGGGTGGTCACAACATCGTAAGGAGGTGAGACCCTGCCCTACCTTCCATCCTCCATCAGCTGGTGACCTCAACATTCCATCTCCTTTAACAATGGACTCGCTCAGCTGCTGCTGAAAAGCCTATTTGGCCTCATAATAGAAATAACTCCAGGTACACAGGCAAGGACCTGCCTAGCTTCCCCAAAACTAGCCAGCAAATCAAAGTAGGATCTCCCCCACCTTGTAGCCTTCAACTCCTATAAAAATCTTTGCTTTGGTTGGGGTTCCTTTCTCCTCAGTGCTGTGCTCTGGACTTTTGAATTTTCCACAACCATCATCTCCTGCAGGATTGTTTTGGAGAGCCCCTGGAGAAGAACAGGATGTGAAGATCTCTCTGCGCCTTTCCCCAAAGCAATGATAAGCCATGAACAATACCTCAGAAATGTCTGCTGAAGACAGGCAACAGTAGTTTTCTAGGACAGATATGAGACAATCGGAATAAGACAGGAGATGTATTAAATTCATTTCACTTTGTATAAGGGAAGGAGTGTTTGGGGGTGAAATGCACACATTTTTAAGCTGCTCTTCCCATTTAAATTTCCTTTCAAAACAGTAATCATGTTCTAGCCTGTAACTGAGTCCCTTACAGATCTGGGTTATATAGGATTTCTCCAGTGAGATGTCTTTAATTATCTAGTTATTTGAACTCATGTATAAAATGCAAAACTCTCAGGAGAGGATGGAAGCAGCAGTTTAGAATAGCTCCCATTCTTTCAAGCAGATTCTCTGCACGTGCTGAAATGCTCTGGTCTTTGGAAGGACAGAGGAAAAAGGAAACAGTCTCAAAGGTCTTCTCATCCTCCAGGTGCCAAAGCTGCATCCAAAAGCTCAGAGGTGACTCCAAATCCTGTATAACCTGCAGAATCTGTTTTTAATGAGAGCTCCAAAATCCATCAACAAAAAGCAAGCGCCTCTAAAAGCAAGCCAGCTTTCCAACAAATTCATTAAAGGTAGACTGCCAATCCTTACATTTTCCAATCATGGCTGTTAAGTGCATCCAACATAGACAGAATAGTACTGTAGAAATGCAGACGCCAGTCTCCGTATTGTCTGCTTTGGAGTTAAACAGCAGCAGCAGCAGCTTATTGATCACTGAAGAAGAACAAATACTGGAGGAGATGGATTTCATATGACAAAGCATGTGTCTGGGATAGGGATTCTGGGGCCCATGGATACAAATCACTTCCATAATGCTCCATAATCAAGGTCACCTGATTTTTTTTTTATGATCATTTTAATAAAAAAAGGAAACAGACATTCTGCAAAGAAAAGCATTATTATATACATACACACCCCAAAACTTTTGGGTCCCACAAAGGCATTACTGATATGGTAGAGATCATCCTGGAAAAGTTCCTATGAACATTTTTTTTTAATTAACTGGCTTTGCCCACCATAACAGCTATTCTGGGAAGAGGTAAATCTCCCACAGTAGCCCTTTGAATGGGCTGCGTACATGCTTTCAAAATTCAGACAGTACCTGTCTCAATAAGACTGCCCAGCTCTAGCAGAAGCCAGTACGTGCTCCCTGCAAACAAAGCAGCTGCAATTGGTGTTTCTAGGAATGCTATTGAAATATGGGGACTCAGATTAAAATCTTTACAAAGCTGTACCAGAGGAGCAAAGCTATAGCACTGTCATATACATGCTTATCAAGATGTATGTCTTACTGACATCCAGCAGGCTTTTCTCTTTACAAGTTACAGAAACATATGCAGTCCACCCCATATCTTCCTAGAATGAATCTCTGGGTATTCTTGTAAAATAACACCGGTACTCCTTAGAGAAAGAATTGGATATTACTATGATCAACATTAATTTACAAAATTCACATAATTTATTTTTACAGGCAAGTTAATGCCCCAGGTATTGGATAGAATGCAGACATTTCACTGCCAGAAAAATTGGATCTTTACAATGCCCAAGTAGAAAACCTTTACATCTAGCATTAAGGTGGTTTAAGAAAGAACACACACAGGCAAGTCCCTATTGGAAAATATTAAGCATGAGCCTCAAACCAGATTTTTTTTTTTTAATAGACTCTTCTGAAGCAAGGACTACCAATTATTTTAAAGGTATTATCTGAGATAACTCCATGTGTCTCCAGTGCTACTGTAGCATTTCAACTCCTGTAAATATTTTATATTTTGAGACATACTGTTTGAACCATTGCAACAGCATCTTATTCAAATAATCCATTTGAACGTTTTGTTGACTCTTAGTCAGGGAAATGCAGCTCCCCTTAAAAACATATCCACAGTGGTCCCTTGTCCAAGTCCCTTTCCATAACCCAATTAATACTTGGGAATGTGGGTGCTGACAATGCACTAGGCTGCTTAGTGATCGCTGTGCGTAAAGATCCCTTACTATATTGAGTACACGTGTACAAATTCAAATTCTGGAAGAGAATTTAACAGCCGTCAGCCAAGCAAGTACCACTCCTCCTAACATAGCTCCCCGTGCACGTCAACCAACCGGGTAGCTGTTTTTCGAAAGGAGCAGAAGCGAAGCAGCAGCCCTTTTCTGGAGTTACGTGGGTGGCCCTTAAAAGAGCCTTTTGATCGCTTTCTTGCGCTCGCCGAACTGGCGAGAGGACGCTTAAGCCCTCTCCCCGCGGATGCGGCGCGCCAGCTGGATGTCTTTCGGCATAATCGTCACTCTCTTGGCGTGGATGGCGCAGAGGTTGGTATCTTCGAAGAGGCCCACGAGGTAAGCCTCGCTGGCTTCCTGGAGGGCCATAACGGCGGAGCTCTGGAAACGGAGATCGGTCTTGAAATCTTGGGCGATTTCTCTGACCAGGCGCTGGAAGGGGAGCTTCCGGATGAGCAGCTCGGTCGATTTCTGGTAGCGGCGGATCTCTCTTAAGGCGACGGTGCCGGGGCGGTAGCGATGAGGCTTCTTCACCCCGCCGGTGGCTGGAGCGCTTTTGCGGGCGGCCTTGGTAGCCAGCTGCTTACGAGGAGCTTTTCCTCCAGTAGACTTTCGAGCGGTTTGCTTAGTACGGGCCATAGTTCGGCTATGGAGCGACGGGTCGGTCTGGAACAGGAACCTAAAAACAGAGGTAGCCTCTGGAAGGCAGGGTATTTATAGCGGAGTCCTCTTCTCTTGATTGGCTGAGTAGGTTTGAATTTCCCGGGCTTTGAAGGGATTGGCTACAATGTTTCCACACTTTCATCTCGTGCCTCTTTTGCACTCCAATGGCTACGTCAGCAGTAGGGCATTCAAATGTTTTCAGCTCAGGGCAATACTGTTCTCACAGACAATGCCTTGTAGGTAAAAGCTCCCTTTCTGCGCTGCAGAAACCCGGACCACCGACAGATGGCAATAAAGAGTTGGAGTTTTCTGTTTCTCTTTGTCGCAACCTAGTAGTTATCCATATTTTTGCCACCCAGATTTAAAAGCCTCAAAGGTATTTTCTGAATATTCATCCCGGATGAATATAATTTGCAGTGTCCTAATTTTGGACTGGTGAAAAGGTTTAGTTGTGGATGACAGCTAGCGTGATGGCACCAAGATGACCCAGGTTCTAATTCCTCCTCAGCCACAGAAATTTATGGGTGATCGGGTCAGCTCAACCTACCTCAAAGGGTTGTTGTAGGGAAAAAATGGGAGGGGGGAACGCTATATATTCACGTACTTTTTGTGTATTGAACTCTTACACAAAAAGTGAGATATGAATGTAATAAATGCGATATGTCATTAAACCCACTGCGCATTTCGCAGGCATCAAGGTCACAATACAGGCTGACTGCTGGAATTTCAAGAGGCCTTTTTGGACAGACGAATTTATATATAGATATCCCACAGAAAAGAATGGTTTACTCCTAGCTAATTGAACATAGCTCCGTTGGCATATACATTACTTCGGTTGATCTCTATACAACAAGCAGGATCGGGGGTCAGGAAAGCCGAGGGGTATAGACTGGAAAGAAGGCAACCGCAAACTACTTCCGCGTTGTTCCCAAGATCTACATGGACACGCCCATGAAGGCACCGCACCGCGCAGGTAGGGCTTTCCTAGAAGGGGCTCCATTTTTCTTTTAAGCATAAAATTGCACCATGACGAGCCAGTCACGAGATCAATCGCCTAAGTCCGAGCGATTATATATACTTTTCTGATTGTCTTAACAGTGGTTTTACCTAGTTTCCAAATGGATTTCATACTGAAGAAAAGGGATCCTACAGCTTAGCTTCCTCTGGTGAGTTAGTACGGATCAGAGAATTTTAGATTTAAAAAAAGCCGCGGCAGGACGATGTGTTTGAAAAATCCCGCCGGGCGCGGTGATTGGTTAAGATATACTCTCCCCTCTTCCCCCCTCCCCGCTATCTTTTATACTTGTTAAGCCGTGGATGTCTGGAAGGTAACAGCCGAAGCCTTCTGCAGACGGATCTGGAGTTTCTCTAAATCTGTTCTAAAGGCAGAGAGAATATTCGCGAGCGCGTTTCGAGCCGGGTATCCCTCCCAAGTAATTCCCTGGGCTAGGGAAGCGCCAGCTCTGGGGACGTGCTTTGGATCTGACGACCGACACACTGAACAGCTAGCTAGCTATTCGAGACCCTAGACTCAGCTCCTTACTTGAAATTGTAGGTGGCTCTGAAAAGAGCCTTTGGGTTTTAAAATTCACTGATCTTTTCTTCAGAGCAACTTCTATTTTCCTTTCGCTTTATGGCTTTCCGTCTTCTTGGGCAAGAGGACCGCCTGGATATTGGGCAACACGCCCCCTTGAGCGATCGTCACTTTGCCCAGCAGTTTGTTGAGCTCCTCGTCATTGCGGATGGCCAGCTGCAGGTGGCGGGGGATGATGCGGGTCTTCTTGTTGTCGCGCGCGGCGTTGCCGGCCAACTCCAGGATTTCCGCCGTGAGGTACTCCAGCACGGCCGCCAGGTAGACCGGAGCGCCGGCGCCCACCCGCTCGGCGTAGTTGCCTTTGCGCAGCAGGCGGTGGACGCGGCCGACCGGGAACTGCAGTCCGGCTCGGGAAGAACGAGACTTGGCCTTGGCTCTCGCCTTGCCTCCCTGCTTGCCGCGGCCAGACATGACGTCGCTCCTGAGCTTACTACAACACGCCCAACACAAATCAGCAGTGATTAGAAACGAGCGAACTGGGGGCCTTTTATGCCTTCCTAATGTCTGAAACTGCACAGTTTGATTGGCTGTTCAGACACCAGGATTTCTTAGCCAATAGGAACACAGGTTTGTCAACATAGCCAATCGAAAGAATAGAAATTGGCTCCTTCCAATAGGAACCATAGTATCGCAGTCCTATAATTTGCATCTGCGCACGCAGCGACAGTGATGCAACAGATACATCAGCCAATAAGAACATCGGAGCCCAGCTACCCTTATTTGCATAGAAGGCCTTTAAATATTGGGAAGACGGAAGCTGAACTTGTTTCAGCTCTTTTTGAAGTACGTCGAGTGGTTTGTTTTTCTGCCGAGAGAAGGGTCGCCTTAGCTGCCGTTCCGGTTCACAGTTTTTAGAAAGTGCCTTATTCAGCATGCCTGAGCCGGCGAAGTCCGCTCCGGCGCCTAAGAAGGGCTCGAAGAAGGCGGTGACGAAGACCCAGAAGAAGGGCGACAAGAAGCGCCGCAAGAGCAGGAAGGAGAGCTACTCCATCTACGTGTACAAGGTGCTGAAGCAGGTCCACCCCGACACGGGCATCTCGTCCAAAGCCATGAGCATCATGAACTCCTTCGTGAACGACATCTTCGAGCGCATCGCCGGCGAGGCGTCCCGCCTGGCCCACTACAACAAGCGCTCGACCATCACCTCCCGGGAGATCCAGACGGCCGTGCGCCTCCTGCTGCCCGGGGAGCTGGCCAAGCACGCCGTGTCCGAAGGCACCAAGGCTGTCACCAAGTACACCAGCTCCAAGTGAGGCGGCTGCGCTGCGCTGCGCTGCGCTGCGCTGCGGCTGCGCTGCGACCGAGAACCCAAAGGCTCTTTTAAGAGCCATCCACTTCCTCATGAAAGAGTTTAAGTCGCTGCTTTGTTACAGTGGTTGTAACTGTGTCTTGACGTTTAGGATAGCCAGACCCTGTTTTTAATCTTACGAACGTATCCAATGACAGGGCTTCCTTTTCTGAAAAAAAAAAAAAGGGGGGGATGCTGACATTTAGGGGGTGGAGTGTATATATTACAGTACAGAACAGGTCAAGTTAATGAGCAAAGCTGTACAGCACAGGAGTGTTTAGCCTGACTAACATATTCAAGATACTTCTTTTTTTCTTTGAAGCAGATTAGCTTCTGGTGAATTTAAATGCAAATAACAAAGTTTTCATAGAGTTGATTGCCTGACCAGAGGATCTGATCTGGCAGTGGATGAGTCTTTCTACTATGTAAGCCTGTATTGAGTTGGTGACATAAATTCAGTAAACAGATATTTATAAAGGCCCAGAAGGGGAAAAAAGCCATCCTCCACATTTCATTTATTAAATGTATTGTAATTCTCAGGAGCTTGCTGTGTTTTGACTATGTGCCATTGTCTTTTCTCTCAGCACCCACATAGGTAGGCCTCCAGGATGAACTCTTCCACCCTGGTGCTTCAGGTATTCCAATGGTGCAGCCACCACAACTGTGATTGAGTTAATCCACCTTGCTGCTGGTTGTTCCGTTCCCTTTCCCAGCATTATGGACTTTCCCAGAGACTTAGGTCTTTGCATAATGTGTCCAAAATGTAGTAGTTTGAGCCTGAACATTTGTGCCTCAGGTGAGAACTCTGGATTGATTTATTCTGTGACCAATTTCTATTCTTGGCTATCCATGGCATCCTGAGGAGTCTTCTCTAACACCAAAGTTCAAAAGCATCAATCATCTTTCTGTCCTGCTTCTTCAGAGTCCAATGTAGAGTACAACAGGGAAAACCACTGCCTTCATAATTCTGATTTTGTAGCCATAGATTCATTATGGCATCAGAATATTTTTTCTAAGGCCTTCATCAGTACCTATGAAGGGCTAGCCAGAGGCATATTTCTTGATTATTGCTTCCTTTTTTGTTGATAGACAATCCTAAAAGGAGAAGCTATACACCACTCTGGTGTCTCCACTGTCAATTCTAAGGCTGATTCTTGACCTGTTATTAGTTTAGTTTTCTTTTAATTTAATCATAGTCCAAGCACGTTGCAGTAATCCAAATGCACAGTGATGGGGGCATGAGATTATGGTCAATTTGGAAGGAAAAATATTCATTTGATTTATAAGCCTCCCCCACCCCCATCTCACCATAGCAACTTTGGGTGGCCAACACCACATGAAATACAAAATAGACAAGATAAAAAATGTCAAAAGGAGACAAAATCCAGTCAACAATGAATTAATAATGTCTCACAGGCTCCAACTAACTTCCTGACCTTCATGCCCAGCAAAACATCCAGGTCAACATTCAATTCTTTAAAGCTTTCCAGAAAAAGCAACTGCACCTTGAAACACATTTCTTTCCCATTCATTCCACTGTGCATAATTAATTCCAATATATTTTGGTCTCTATCAGGCTAGCTAGAACATCAAGTGCAAAAACAGAATGTTGATGGGGTAACTGCTACAGAAACCATGGAGTCTCTGTTTTGCCATCGTGTTAATCTTAATATAAAATGTAATAAGTTGCAAGCATTCAAATTTACACTTTATGATATGCTGGGATGAAGCCATGGCCTGAGACTAGGAAAAAAATAGAGTGTTAATAAAATTGTAGATAACATTAGGTGGCATTCTTCATAGTAGGCCAATCAAACCAAGATGGCTGGTTTGGCCTAGCAAGCGTGGAGGGGATATTGCTTCAGAAACTAAGGTCCCAGTTTCCAGTAGCATAAATGATCTTCCTATAATATAGGATCCTGTGGTTTGAACACCCACATTACTAATATTCAAGTCACCCAAAAGCCAATGTGCTGCGTTAGATCTGCTACATTTGCTTTCTTATCTCAGAATCTGCCATGTTCCTTGATAGATAGTAACCAAAATAAAAATTCTTCCCTCCCAAGCTATATTGGGTTAACACCATCTTTACCAGCAGTGCATTTCTGCCATGTGTTGTTATCCAACTGAATGTTTAAGCATAGTTCACACTGAACTTGGCTTTAAAAATAGGACTGGGCTGAAAATGAAATTCTGCATTTAGACCCTCTGAATTAAGCTAATTCTTATTAATGTGCCATCTAGAGTGGCATTAGGATTTTTTTTTAAAAAAAAGTGTCTCTGTATCTTGCGTCTACATAGTTCTCTCTTATTACAGCTCAGGAAAATGAATTGGTTTAAGAAGTATCAAGTGAATTTTAAACCAGATTTTAATCTTGGCTCTTCATTCCAAAACTATTAGCTCTCCACAGAGGAGTGCTTATGACTGCATTTAAGGGGACCGTGTCATGATCCAACATTTAGACAATAGAGAGAACCAGGCTCAGTAATGAATACTCAGATTAAGCAACAGAAGTTTAGCACCTCCAGCCCATTCTAAAGCACATTAGGTCCTAAATTCATTGCAATGAAAAATTCAAAATCAAAAGCTGGTGTGTGTGTGTGTGTATTTATCTCCTTTTAGAAAGCTTGCTTTATGTTGGCAAGATTTATTTATTTATTTATTAAACCAATTTATATGGCCGCCCATCTCACCATAGGTGATTCTGGATGGTGTACAACAAAGGTAAAAATGGCCAATAAATAAATTAGAAATATAAAAATAAAAATAAAACAAAGAATAAAAGGATGTTAAAAATAAGGTAGCCACCTCACTAATTTCCATTTCAGACAGGAAATAATGGATCTGGCTGATAAAGAGACTGTGAATTGGCTGGTCATTCAGTCCAGCATGGTCTAGGGGTTAAGATGTTCAACCAAGAATTGGGAGAAACTAGCTATTTTTCTGTCAGTCCAGGCTACACTGCAGGGTTGCTGCTATTGCGGGCATACCATGCAGGGAGAGAGAAAAGGTGAAATAATATTCTACAGCAGCCTATAGTTGGTTTCTGTGATTCACCATAGGGAGACCATCTATAATTCTTAGTATGCAAAATAATATTTGAATTAAGTATGACATGAACAAACTTCAGACCATACATTCCCATTCTCCTTTCGTTTTATTTAGTGTTACAGAAACAGCCACATTTCCTTTATAAAAGAATTATTTTCGTTTTCTTTTGGCTAACTTGCAATTTTTTTTCTTGTTAGAAAGTGTTACAAAGCGAACAGCCAACGGAAAGAGGATCCCGATAAAGTTTTGTATCAATTTTCACACAGTTAAGTTTGTGGCAATTTTCGACCTGATCGGTCCTCTTATGCAAAGGCATATCCTTACCGCACCAAAAACAGGAATTTCTCTTTTATAGAACAGGGACAGAATTTAATTATTTAACTCGAGACTTGAGCAATAAGGAATTTCCCTATACGTAGAACCAGAAACGAAAAAAAGGCGCCAACATTTTTAGTTTCAAACGGTGCTTTGTCGTTGGTATTTTCGAACTATGTCCCTTTCTCATTGGACAAATTTGAGCAGCAGGAACCTATGGCGGGATAGGCTTAGCGGCTAATAGTAACCGCCCCTTCAAGGAAGGTTTCTTTCTGGTCGGATACTATGCAATATAATCTCGCCGTTTCCCCGTTTAGAGCACACTTTTTTGTGGGCTTGTGAGCTGCAGTATTGAAGGATGTCTGGACGAGGAAAGGGCGGAAAGGGTTTGGGAAAAGGAGGCGCTAAGCGCCACCGCAAAGTGTTGCGGGACAACATCCAGGGCATTACTAAGCCTGCGATTCGCCGCTTGGCTCGTCGTGGCGGAGTGAAGCGTATCTCTGGCTTGATCTATGAGGAGACTCGCGGGGTGCTGAAGGTTTTTCTGGAAAACGTCATCCGGGATGCCGTGACTTACACCGAGCACGCCAAGAGAAAGACCGTGACCGCCATGGACGTCGTGTACGCTCTGAAGCGCCAAGGCCGTACTCTGTACGGATTTGGTGGCTAAATATTACAATTGTGAGTTGATCAAAGTAATCAAAAGGCCCTTTTAAGGGCCACCCACCTTCTCATAAAAAAGCTGAGTTTCCATAAATACTGTCTCGCTGTCTTATAACGGAGCTTGCATAGGAAGACTACTCGTCCCGTAACTGTAGGATTTTTAGATTTGCTGTTTCCTGTAAACCACGAAGTGAGCGCTAGAACCAGTGCGTCCTAGGTAGAAATTGATGGGGTTGTGTTGGCCGAAGTAAACTGCTCAGTGAGGGGGAGGCCTAAACACAGGCTATAAAGAAAAAAAACGCAGGGATTCTTAGGGGTTTACCCTGGAAGAATCCGCTTTCGAGTTTCTCTTTTTTTTTTAATCACATTAAAATATTTCCGAGTTCCGTTGGTAATCTCAGAATAGGATGCAATCGTCAACAGAGAAACCTAGCAGGTTCGTTAGGGGTGATGAAATTTTGGTACATACAAAAAAGGTGGGCTTCCTTATGAGGCACAGCCGGATAATGCGATGCATCCTATCAAACAATGGTTCTTTCTCCAGCGCCAGCAACTAACGAAAGCGTATTTCCCAGCAGTCTTTGTATCAAAGCCTTTGTTTGCTCTAATGTGACGTAATATCATCGGTGGCCAATAAGAGCCTGAGGGCTGCCGGCGAGTCATTCGGTCGCTCAGATACGGAGTTAAGTGAATTCTGTAGTTTCCGAGCAGCCCGGCCGGGGCAGCGGGGTCTTTCCAGAAAGCTTGCTCTAGGAGCAGAGAAAAGGAAGCGTTCACACATCCTTGGATTCCAGGTCAGAGTGTTGTCTTTACCCCTTGTGAGAAGACAGCAGTAGTACCAAACTGTCTTTCTCCCAAGCTTACCACTAATATTTTTCCTTCTCCTTACTTCAAAATCCATATCGTTCAGCTGGCTGTCCAGCACTACATTCTGGGCTGTAGATTTATTGAGGACTTCATATTTTGGGATTATTTCTCTGCTGAGAAAAGACTAGAAAGCAAGACTCCTCACAAACCCTAGGATAAGCAGGATGTCTTTACTTGGTGTGGACAGAGGCTGAATAAGGTGTGAGATTTTGCGCTTTCCATTGCTTCTAGACTAATTACTCACCTAGGTGGAGTTATATTTGTATGATGACCAGGAAGCAAGACTAAATAATGGAATATGGAGCAACCAAATGGTTCAACATTGAGGAAAGAGTATACAGTATAATGTATACTGTTCTCATATCTATTTAGCTTAGATGCAGATGGTATCATGAGACATTTTATTTATCATATTTATATAGCCACCCATCTCACACAAGGTGACTCTGGGCAGTGTACAGCAATTAAAAATAAATACATAAAAACAACAAATAAACTGTAAAACACACACAAAATAGGGGATAAAATTAATAAGGAAGCCTTCGCACAACCTCCCCGGTCCCCTGGGAGCCCCAGGCCTGATCACAGAGCCAGGCCTTGAGGGACTTGCGGAATGTTAAGAGGGGTGGAGCTAATCTCACTTCTGGGGGGGAGAAGATTCCACAAGGCGGGCGCCATGGCAGAGAAGACCTGCCAAATGTAATTCTCTAGCAGACAGGATCTGCAGCATGCCTTCTCTGCCAGATCTGAGGGGACGGGCAGATGTAATGGGGAGAGGTGGTCCCTCAGGTAACTCAGCCCTGTGCCATGAAGGGCTTTAAAGGTCAAAACCAGCACCTTGAATTGGACCCGGAAGCAAACTGGCAACCAGCGCAGCTCACAGAGCAGAGGTGTAACATGTACTGCCCTAGAGGCACACACAACTGCCCATGCTGCTGCATTTTGCACCAGCTGAAGCTTCCAGATACTCTTCAAGGGCAGTCCTATGTAGAGTGCATTACAGAAATCCAAACAGGAGATGACCAAAGCATGAGTGACAGTGATTAGGTCCCTCTGATCTAGGAATGGGCACAACTGGTGCACAGCATGAAGCTGTGCAAAGGCCCTCCTGGCCATGACTGCCACCTGCTCTTTGAGCAGGAGTCGTGAGTCCAAGAGGATCCCCAGATTGTACACAGGGTCTGCCTGGGGCAGTGCAACCCCATTCAGTACCAAAGATGACATAGTTCTAGCAACAGAAGTTTCATGCTGGAGTAGAAGAAATAAGGATTGGAATCATAATTGCTGAGGGAAGTATCAACAGCCTCA